GCTATTCTAGCTAAAACCGAGTCAAATGCAGTATCGACAGGTGAGTCCTCCAGCGTAGCCATGTTTGTTATGCCCCGGCAAGGTCTTCTGACTGTTGTCCTTCTTACATGTCCCGCCCTCAAAAAAACACCGCTGGAACTCAATGGTCACACTCGCTGGTTGTTTCGAGACGTATTAGTGGGAGTTTTTCAAGATGGATTTGTTGTGTGACTGAAAACTCAGATCTTGTGACATTCCAGCTTGCAGCACAAGGTTAGAAGAAACTAACATCCAGCTCAACTCAGAAATCAATTGCAACTCCAGGTAAGGTGAAAAAACTCCTTAACCGGCACATGTCAGGTAAAACTCCTTGTCAGGTACGTGTGCAAGCTACGAGAATGAGCAGAACAGTGCTGCAGTTCTATGTTTTGGCCAGAGGTGGCAGTTTCAATAGAAAACTCCATAATTCCTCCTTTAGGATTATACCAGAATTTATGAAACAAAAACTCCTAACGATAGCCTCAAACAGGTCATCCAAGCACTTAACTCAACCTGTGGAGCTGTAATAAACTAGCATTTGCAAACTCTTAAAACACGCATATCTTCTGTCATACTGTATATTCAACCTCTTTATGGAAAACATAAGAAGCGCTTGCGGATCACACATTTCCAGAACCATTAGGAATAAACCATTTCCACACCTCAATTTAACTGATGATGTCCACCTAATAGGAAATTGAATGAAAAAAACCTGCAGGAACTCAACATAGCCAGAGCATATGGGTGAAATAAGGCAGACTGAATGGATAACAGGGAGTTGACTACTCGCAATTTTCAAACCCTGCTGCTCACAGTATATTGCTGATAGTGCTAAACATCCCTAAATGTCTAAATGGCCACCACTTAAGTCTTATGACCCTTGGATCAAAGGGTGAATAAATGTATTTGTTTCCCTCTGTAACCGCCCTTCACCAGGGTGCCAATAAGTTAGAGTTTTAAAAGAAGTTTTACAATATTGCATTTCTGACTCAAATAACAAAAGATGTGTAAGTTGCTATAATTATTGAATGCTCCTTGTTATTTTGAGTTTAAAACTGTTGAAAAATGAGACAGCCAAGTTACACATTATGTTTCAATAGCAGTGGGGTTTAAAACAATGGTTGTCAAGATAGGATCCCACATGATGTTACATGCTTGGATACCTAACATCACTCTTTCATTATGTCATGTCATTTAGCCCTATTATCTGTCTGCTTAGCTTGAGTGCTGTGTGGTTGTATTGCAGGCGAAAGGAGAGAAAGCGAGGAGCAAACTTAATGTGTGAATATGAGCAATGGGAAGAGAAGTATATCTATAGTATAAAAGGGATTAGTAACAAAAAATGAGCTATAAATATAATCAATTTTTACATTTGTGCAATACTTTCTATAGTAGTAGCCGTTCAAAATCTCCCCACTTTCCTCGATTGGCCCTTGGCTGGTCCCCTAAGATTCCCTTTTTAACCATCAATTTTTGTATTAAAATATCCTTTCTGTCATGATTTGTGGACATTAAGATCTAAAGAGAAGCATCACCTCCTGGTCAGACCCTGTAATTCAGTGAAAGGTTGGAGCCAGATTAAAAAAATATGCTTGCCCAGGAGGAGGGGGTCACTCCAGTGGCTGCCATTTGGCTGGAGTTTGACTGGGAGGGGCCATTTTGAATGGCTGCTACTTTATATTTTCAACAAAAGATAACCTCAGTTTTTTATTCGGAGTGATGGATCCTTGGGGTAGACTTTTGAAACTCACCTGGCTGACGCAGCTAGCTTGACTGAGGGTGCTGACGGCACGCATGTAGCTCTGGTTGCGAGAGCGAAAAGGAGGAGGATGGAATGAGGTGGCAGGATCCAGCGTGACACTTGGGTGGGGTCGCAAATCTCTGGTTTGCAAGTGGTAACCCTGGCTGAACAAGGACAGGAGCAAGTTGTGGAGGGGAGACAAAACGTTTCTCAGTTTAAAAAATACAAAATAAATATTAGAATTATAACTTTTGGATCAGCTGGGGAGCATACATGGGTTAGGCATGTCTGGACAGAGGGCCTGACTATAAAACAATGACATTAAGAATACACTATAAAACATGAACTATTTTTAACAAAATCAGTTTCAGCTGTAAGTGTCCTATTAGACGATAGTTACAACCAAATGAGTGTAGATTTACAACAATGACATGTTGTTTTATTTTCGTGCAGAAAAATCACAAGGTCTTTTTTTTGTTTGCATATAAATGCAGAAGCGATAAAAACCCCGGTGATGGTGATGAATAAAAGGGCACTGAGCACTTAGAGGCAGAGAGAGCTGAGTAGTGCATGATGCCTCACTAGGTTTACAGAATTTGTCGATCTAAAAGCCACAGTGGCTTTAAACAAATATTCAAAGAGACTGTTAACATTATGAAAACAATATCAATGCAAATGGGGTAAGTGAATGCTTAAACTTAAAAGCCAAGAAGACGCCAGAAAGAATACAATGGCAGGAAAAACTATTACTGTAACTAATTAAAGGATATAAAAATATGTACTTTAAAAATTTAAAACTGCTTTATTACTTCTAAATGTCAAAAATGTCTAAAATGGGAGACAATACCGATTTCAATTAGAAAGTAAAACTTCGTTTAAAGTAAAGCATCAAAATATTAGAGCTATACCAACACATTAGACAGCAAATAGTTTTGGCTGATATAGTAATAATAGCAGTACATTCACCAGCCATTGCTGGACATCACATTAAAGACCATGTAATGNTGCTCCCTGTGTTGACTATCCATTGTTAATATTTTGTTTTATTTGTTAAAAAATGTTTACTTTTGTTTACATAACATTTGTTTTCATTGTGTCTTTTTTCATGTAAATGGAGAAAAGAAAGTGATATCTGCCTGAAAAAAAAAGGTCCCAGGAAATCTGGGATTCATTAGATTTGTGTCAAAATAATCAGTATAGGCATCTGCCTTTAAAAAGTTATCGGTTAATATCTATCTATATATATAAATCCACTAAGAAAAAGTTTGCCTAATCTGAAAAAAGTTTACAAATATCCCCTGCAAATAAGATGACTGACAATGTTTCCAAAAACCCAATTAAAAATATATCTTTAATAACAGTTATAATAAAGTTAGAAAAAAGGTAACATATGTTTACATTTGTTTTATCGGGACAGCAGTATCTGTGCTTTAAAGAATAAAGGTCTGAAATATAGGAGATCAAATACTTAATATTACTATTTGATGCTGTTTTGGTAATTTGATGTCATTTAAAAACTGCTCATTTAGTTGGATCTTTTCCAACAAACCTGAATAAATGAAAGGCTCATAACCATTGCTGTTCATAACCATTGCTTCTCCGCATTAAAAGGAGTCTGATTAGGAAGCCTACACTAGAATTGCAGGAGGGACTATTTCCTGTAATGTTGAAACCTTACAAGCTCTTGGAGGCAAAACTTAAAGCTTCCAAACCTAAGTAAATTCAGTGTGTTTCCCTTTTACATGGAATACAAGTCTCAGACCTTAAATAATACAATAATTCCAGATAAAAAGATTATTACTCCACATGTTATGAATTTGGGGAAGTTCTACAAAACTGTTTTGTAAAACAGATTTGATGGGGTACTGTTTTTTTATGCTGTGTATTGGCTGATTGGAGTTAGAATAGAATTGAATAGAATGGAACAGAAAATACCTTTATTGCCCCACAATGGGGAAATTCTGGTGTTACAGCAGGAAAAGGAATATAGAAAAAATGGTCACACAAATGTGGACCTTGGATAAGTGCATACGAATAACAAAATAGTAAAGAGTTAAAAATAAACAAATGAAATACTGTACTGTAAAGGGTTTTAACAATCTAAAACTGTGCACCTGGATAATAAATAACTAATATACAGCTATGTACATTTTTACAGAAATGGATATTTGAAAAACAGCAGCAACATCAGAGATGTGCAAAATGGAAGCAGCATGTTATTTAACTGACTGAGGTAGACACTGCAAAATCAGCCTGAATGTTACAATTTATTGAGGTTGTTGGGAACAGAGATGGTTATAAAGTCGTACAGCTGCTGGGAGGAAGGATCTGTTGCCTCATTAGGTCTATTTCTCTGTCTGTGTCAACCATCTCCTCTTCTCTCTGTTGTATAGTTCAGTGACTCCACTCTCTAAAGCACAGACAAAGGTTTTTGCTATGCCTACATTAGATAACATTTAGGGGTTTCAAAGTACAGTTTTGTTTATATCTGTGTGAGAAAAGATATTTTTAAGGTCAGTTTTTGTGCATTTCTTAATGCCAAAAATAACAACCTGATTGAGTTTAAAGAATGTCTTAGGACGATTTTTATGCACCACCATTTCACCTGTATTCACAGAATTATAGTAGAAAATTGGGCGGGAAAGAAGGCGGAAGGCATACAACAAAAAGCTCTTTTTGCTGAGATTGAAATAATGGAGGGTTACAACAAAGGCTATGTATATGGGGAACATTCTATAACATTATGTCAGGTGTTTTTCAGGGAAGATTCAACTAATATTTATGTTTCTGGATGTGTAAAGGTGTTAGAAAAATTCCTAAAAACACCCCATCCCATTAACTCCAGTGAAAGGTTTTTCTAAAGGTTTTATGACTGTTGAAGCTAGTGTTCACTTCTCAGATTTCTTATACTAAATATACTAATTTAAAACCTTGTATCCTACAAATGTACAAATGTATCCTACTTCCCAAATTACGTCAAAAAACGTATTTATCATCTAAAACAATCAAATCCTCTAAACCTTGATTAGACTACTGTAAGATCTTTCTGGGCATAGTTGAAGTTAATCTAGATTACACTATCTCAGCAAATGAGTTTTATCTCTTCATATTACGTCAGATAAGAGCTGTGATGGATATATTCAAGTAATGAATAATCAAGGAATTGAGTGTAATGTTTAACAATAACACATTTGTGTCTCTGTCAGCTTATTTTTTCATATAAAGCAAAAGTTCAGTCTCAAAAACTGTTAAAAAAGTCCTTAAAACTAAAAATTCAGTAAAGCTCTGGCAAGTTTGGAGGAACTGCTTGACGGGCAGCCCTACCTTTGGGAGTCTAAATGCGGTCTCTGCATGGCTGATTTAAGGACAAGAGCATCAGGACGAATGGCCGCCTGTGGAGAAGTCTTAGGACTCGTGTCGGAGTCTCCACTTTCATCCTCCAGCTCACCCATAGCTTTGACATAGCTACTGCTCCGCATACGGCGACATGGAATCTCCTCGTCTTTGTCATCTGGGTATCCACTCCACTCGTCTTGGGGCACCTGCAGGACACAATATGTCTTAAAAACACTTCTAAAATCATGGCAAAATGCTTTATTGCTATAAATATTTTTTATTCACTAATATCCAGTCTTTGTAAAGACATGCTAGAGGAATCTTTAGCATGTTTGATTAATCTTAAGGCAAAATAGACGGCTTATTCTAGTTTGTTTTCCAATAATATCATCTGCATATATGAGGGAGCCCACTTAGCTAAATAAGTGCTGAAGATTACGAGGCAAGCTGTTTGTGTCTACATTAAGAAAATTGCTAAATCTAACGTGATCAATGTTCAGCTTTTCTCTTTCATTAGGGTAAGGCAGAGAAAGCCTCTCTAAGTTTCTCTTTTATTTGAATCATTCTTAGAAATAAGGCCATTACGCACTTTGACACACCATCCTGGATCAAGTTAATAAAGAGCATCACATTAAAATGCCTCACTTACTGGTAAAAGTCTTGTTTTTGTGGTATTTTCCTTTGCAACCACTTTAAAGGACATCCTGAGGATCTCTACTCTACTGTTCCACTTTTTTTTTTTTTTTTAAGTAAAACTTACATATTTTGTGATTTTACTCAAAGTTACATCATTGAACGGGAATTTGTATTGATGCAGAGTTGTTGACCAAGGCCTGCAATGTGGATATTGATTTTAATCATTACTCTTTCATACATGGTCTCTTACAGTGAATCATACATAGAAATGTAATTCCAAACAAAGTAAAAAAAAAAAAAAAACAATCCACCGGACTTTGTTTCCAAGTTTGAAGATGTTTGGCTTCCCATCCAGGAAGCTGTTTTAATTCAAAGTGTTAGAAGTAGTGTTGAGTTTGAGGCTTTATAGAGTGGACCAAAAGCCCTTTGTTTTGGCTTAGAAAACATGGAAACTGAACTGGACGAGCGGATCCGCCCCTTTGAAGTTGGGGTCGATAGAGTTCTTTGTTAACAGCCATTACCTGTCTGTGTCTCTGAAAGAGGGTCATTAGAGCGAATCGTTGGCCTGTCTGAAACATGTAAGGTGTTTTGGTCCCCTCTAGAGAATTCACCAGCATATTGAAATGTAAGCTGTGGAAACATTTAGGTAACACGACAAATAAGAGATTTTTAGTTCTGGGATGGGCTCAGTGGAGAAGTGGGTAGCACTGCTGCCTTGCAGCAAGAAGGTGGGTTCGATTCCTGGCCCGGGGTCTTTTTGCATGGAGTTTGCATGTTCTCCCCATGCATGCTTGGGTTCTCTCCATGTACCCGGGCTTCCTCCCACAGTCCAAAAACATGACTGTTAGGTCAAAGGGGAACGCCGTTTTTTTTTTTACATTGGGCCCTTTATTTTAAGATATTACATCATGTTCTACTCACCCTTATGAGTTTTGTGTCATTTGGAGCTGTTCTGAAGATATTCCGTTAGGTTACATCCAAGTAACGTCTTCCTATGGGCAAACGAGTTGAAGGCACAAACTAAACTGTTCATAATTTGTTCTTTATGGTACGCCAGCATTCATAACATGTAGGCGAATCACTGTCCCCCAGACATCCATGGTTATATTTTATATTTATATATATATATATATTTTTTTTTAAAGCAGTGCGTGTATGACGTCAACCGTGTGTATTAACTTATTTTCATCTAAAATAGCTTTTTGCAGATGTTAACACATGGTGCAGTTTTTTACAAGATAAAATTGAACTGAGCACAGCTTTTCTAAGCGTTGTTAAAGTAAACTCTAGTGCACAAAAGATGTACTCTGCCATGTTGGAGACAAATCTTTAATACTGGTATGAATTCAAAAAACAAATGCTCAAAATAATAAATAAATGGTTTAAAAATGTTCTAAAAATGTTTAAAAAAAATGAAGGCAACTTCTGGTTTTAATAAGGCTCAACTTAGAAGTCTCTTAGGTTAATCATCCCTTAACTTACTAAAACAAATAGGTCCCTTCTGCATTTTATTTTCCTTTTATCATATCGATTCAGTAGCCTTAGTATCCTGCTGGCAGGAAGTGAGACCAGCTATGTTTGCAAAGATGGGAGAGGAATGAAGTTGCATACTACTGAACATTGTGTTGATAAGTATAAACAGAATAACACACAACAATGAATTTCATGAAAAGACACACAACTTAATAGTGTCTTAAAAGTTTATATAATCACAAATGCTTCTCAGTCATTATTTAAATCTAATTTTGTTTTCGAAAGATTCAAGCAGCGTAATATGTGGAAATGGGTAGCTTCTTTGTCAAATCAGACATAAAGAACACTGTTCATCTTGCAAAGAGCAAAAGTGAGGAAAAAATAGTTTTAATAAGTGGGGAAATGCCTGTTGTTCCTGCTATAAACAGCACAATTCTTATGCTAATTAATCAGCAATGTGATCTGGATATTCTCATGCCTGATGAATTGACAGGAACAGCAGGGCTGAATTTTACATAAAGTATTTATAACATAAGCTAAAATGATGACTGATTTGGTCTCAAGCAATAGAAGGTGGACTAATAACTAGTTTGTTTTAAGCAGGGAAAGTCATGATTGGCAGGGCTGGAGGAAAATAGTCTCGACCTTGTTCTTATGTGTTAAAGTAATTCTAGCATGAGTTGAGATCAGGAAGGACAAACATTATTTCTCGTAATAACTAAGGAATAATTCCAGTAGGATTATAAACCTCTGTTTTCTGCAAATCTGAGTGATGAAAAAACAACTTTTTCCCACCCAAGGTAGGTCCCAAAAAAAGTGCATAGGCTGAAATATTTCAGAATTCTTAAGCTGAAAAACGCATTCTCAATTTAAAAAGAAAAAATTTTAGAGTTTAGAGAAAGCTACCACCAGTAATACCACATTTATTTCCAGTACAGGTAGCATAATGAAAGAACATTTATGTGATCGGAGCACTAAAGTCAAGAGCAACAACATTTAAACGAAAATGTGTGTAACTGTGCAAAATTGAGAAAACTGTTAAAGCAGCTAATTTTTTTTTTTCCAGGAGCAGAAAGTTTTTTTTTTTTCTTTGCTAAGATCATCCTTCACTGACACTGTAAAATACGGTAGTAAATCAAGCTATATATGCAATTTTTATTTCTTTGGTACAACTTTTTAATTTCACAGCTTAAACTGTGCTTTACCCTTAAAAACTGAATGTAACAAAATTCTCACACTATGACTTTTGAGTTGTATTATTCTAGTAATTCACTTCAATTTAATTCAAAAATGCTTTAATAATCCCAAAGGGAAAGTAAATGTGTTCTATGTGTTGATAGCTGTAGGCAGGAATGATCTTCTGTAGCTGTCTGTCTTGCACCAGATCTGGAGAAGCCTCTGACTGAAGATACTCTGTTGTTGTTTAACAATGCCATAAGGATTATTAATCCTTTAATGGGGGAGATAAATTGCAATTATAACTCGGAAGATATCTACAGGAACTATAATGCACAGCTTAAGTAGACTTGCATTATTGCACTGCAGAACAAATGAGCAAACGGTACTAGGTTGAGAAGGGGCTCAATTGGTGTCTCTCTCTAAACTAGTGGGATCTTGATACAACTTCTTCCTTTCTGATATGATAATGATATTGAAGCTTTAACTATTGACGGATACCAATATTGACGTGATATGATATCAGCACAATTTATGCATACTTTTTAACTGGGATTCAGTTCAATTCAATTTATGTATATAGCTCCAATTAACAGCAAATTTAAACTATAGGCATTTCACAATGACATTTAAACTAGATCATCAGGTCAGGTTGGTTCAAAGTTTTCTATCTAAGTAAAACCAGCTGACTCCATTGACTCATTGATTCGACAGCAATTCCTCAAACCAAGATAAAGGGATGATAAAAGGGTTTGATCTAGTGATTTTACTCAAAGAATATTGTCAACAACAATACTGCAGCAATGGGAACAGCTGACCCATTCATTAATAAACTCTGGGTTTCTGTTTGCTTACTGATACTGGAGATTTTAGATGCAGGCTGATATATTCTGATATATCCATTTTTGGCTGATATTGGACCAATATAGAATATTGATTTAAGATAAGGAAATCACTACTGTAAACTCTTGAACTGGGGATAACAGGGTCCCTGATATATAGGAGTGAAATTTCAGGTAAGATATTTCCACTGCTATTTTTTTAAAGTAAATGTTCTTCTATTCACTATTAAGATTAAAATGCCACATTTTTATTAAGATTAAAAAACCACATTTGCTGCTACTGATAGGTTGTGCAAATGAACAAGCTAATGATACCCATAACAACATGTTTTATAATAATGACTCCTATATCGATGGGGATGATAATATTTACATGTATGATGGTAAAAATCAATGTTACCAATCCAATAATTGCTTAGAATATAGAATGAATGATTATGTGAATTACTTTTTCACATATTGGTAAAAATTTTTTTTTTTTTTAGCTACAGTAAAGTTATGCCACAATACTTAAATGGGTGAGAATATGATGGCAAACTAACAATGACTGCAGCAGAAAGTAAATGGATAGCATTAAGGTATATCCCAGATAAAATGATTTAGGACAAGACAGGATTCAGATGGATACTGCAACAGTCTGTTTTTCGACGTGTCAAAACCGATGCTCCCATGTAGAAGACAAATTCTACCCCCAACAAAAAAAACTAATAAAAAAAAAAGAAAGCAAATTGTCAAATAAAGGGCATGCACTGTTCTTAATGCCTGCTGGAAGCTCTGTCAGAACACTGCACACACACACTGCCCTGTGGTTGCTGACACTTTCAGAAAATACATCCCTCATACAGTAGTACAAATAATAACCAAGACAAAGCCTTCCATCTGATGTAACAGCCCTTATCAGATACTGTACTAATTAAAATGAACTTAATTAATTTTTTTGTTGGGGGGTTACGTAGATTCTAATCTTTCCTGCCAGAAAACTCGTTTATTTTGGAGTTTTCATAATAAAGGACTGTTCTTCACATTTTTGCATGTGTCATTTGAAAATAACCCTAGAAAGGAAAACCAAAAGACAACAA